TCCCGTGACCCAGCCCAGGATGCCCTGGAGCCCCATGGTGTGGGTGGGCAAGGGTGAGTGGGCAGGGGACAGAGGTGGAGTACCAGAGGTGAACCTTAGAATGCAGGAACCAAAGGGAAGCCATGAACACACCCAAGTCCCAGCTCAGCTTCTCCCGGGTGTAAACCTGTGGTCCTGGGCGAGCCGCTCCATCTGTCTGAGCCCAGGCTTCCCCCCAGAAGGCAGGGCTGTCGGGAATGTGGGAGCGGAGCTGGGTCTGGCTCCCAGGAGCTGCTTTGGGCACCCTGGTAGCTCCTCCAGTGAGCCCAGGGGTTAGCTATGCTGTAGAGCAGCGTCCTCCAATACAGTGGCCAGAATTAAAGAAAATAACGTTTGTCACACTTGCCACACCTCAATACTCAATAGCCATGTGGCTACAGTACTGGACGGAGCAGATACAGAACATGTTCATTGTTGAATGTTCTGTGACTGCACTGCTCTGGAGATATAAGGGGGGCACCCCCCACACTGCTGCAGGGCCCTGAGGGGCAGAGGGCAGGAGCCCCCACCCCATCACCTCTTCAGAAGAGCAGCTCTGATGTCATCTCCTGCTGACCCTGTGCTGGGGTGGAGGCGAGGGGGACACTTTTTCCTGCCAAAGGGGAAGCTTGAAGGCCACTGCTTATTTTGACTTAATTTAGTTTCCACAAGGGCAACTCGGGCCCAGGAGGGCTGTGAGCCTCCCGGGTGTCACAGCGAAACAGAGCCCTGAAGAGTCGTGGGATCCAGTCCACTAGCTGTGTCACACCTACAGCCTTCCCTTGTGTTTAGTGCCTGCCCCTGCCCTGTGACTCTCACAAGAGCAAAGCACACCCCAAGGTCATGCCCCAGGAAGATGACAGGGAGACCTGAAGAAGCCTGTCCCATGGGGCCAACATCAAATGCTTCTTCCCGCAGTGTTGGCCGTGGGTGCTGCGCCCATGGTGCTGGGCGCCATGAGCTTCACCAGCGCAGGCATCGCTGCCTCCTCCATAGCTGCCAAGATGATGTCAGCAGCTGCCATTGCCAATGGGGGCGGAGTTGCTGCCGGTGGCCTGGTGGCCACTCTACAGTCAGCGGGTAGGTGTCCTGAGCAAGAGTGAGGGATGAAGGGGAGGATCGGGGCCAGGATGGGATTCAGCCCAGGCCTAAGCCCAAGGGAGGGCCTGTCCTCTCCCTCCAGTCACCTGGTCCTCAGTCCCTGGTCCTTTGTCTCCCCTCTGCTGTCCCCTCTTTTGGTTTGGGGTGGGTGGGTCCAGGAGTACAACCCAGCAGATATGCATTCCCAGCCAACCCTACAAAACCTGGGCAGGTCCCCCCTCCCGCCCACCAACTTCTAGACTCCAGCCTCGTCTAGAAGGTGCGGTGCCTGCCATTTCTCACAAGGTCTGCCCTGTCTGTCACTGGTGGACTCACCACCAGAGTTCATGCCTCCTCTTTGGGCAGCCGCTCCCCAGAGCAGACATCCTAAGGTTTGAGGAAGTAGAGGAGGGAGCAGGAGTGGGATGCTGGGGCCTCTGGCCACCTGAGGTTCCCTGGGATCTCTGACCCCCCTCCCTGGCTGCTAGGGAACCCTGTGCCCTGTGGTTTCACCCTCTCTTCTTCCCCAGGGGCAGCTGGACTCTCCGTGACATCCAAAATCCTCCTGGGCTTGACTGGGTC